TGCGCAGCGAAGATGGCCATGGCGGAAGCGTCGCGGCCTACGCCACTAGCTGAGGTCAGGCTCAAGCGTGCTGCACGGTGCCTGGTGGGGTTCTCAGTGACGGGGTGGCACTACTCATTACAGTACCTCCCTGTCACGGTGGACGTCGAGGGCGACGGCGAATGGGCAGGAGCGGACGACGCGAAGTCAACGCAGTGCACGGTGATGATGTTCAGAGACCGTTGCCTTGAGGCGACTACGTCGACGCAGGGCTACATAGCGACAGCAAGCCGGGCGGCAGAGCTCCTTGCTCTCAACGGGGCGGGTGCCTCCGCTATCCCGTGACAGCAGATCCTCGCGATGCGCGGCATCCACGCGCCGGGGGCTCCTGGTACGGACCGCTCGGCAGCGAAGGGAATGGCCCACCAATTGGGGCCAGGCCGAGTGCGACATCTCCGCGTCCAGGACCTGTGGACACAGGAGCGAGTGCGGACGGAGGATCTGAAGGTGATCAAGTTAGACACGGCAGTGATTCGAGCTGACATCGGGGGGAAGTACCTGGACGACTCGAGGATTGAAGTCTTGCTGAAGCTCATGGGGCTAGCGACAAGAGGGCGCGCGGCTGGCCATGTGAGCGACTCCACGCCGGCCATGCTGAAGGTAGTCTCGGCGACAGAGTGCGCGCGTGGCACAGCGGGGGCTGCCGCGGCCACGGGGGGCGACCAGTGCGACGGCAGCGCGATAGTTATCGTCGTGCCGCTGTTCCTGTTCATGTTGGCGCACGCGATCGCAGCCGCGGCAGCGGCGCGCTACCTTGCCAAGAGGCGCTCGCGGGGGCGCCAGCCCGACGCTGCGGGCGGCGAGGTCACGGATGGCACCGACGACGGGCTGGGCGACAACGCTCGGGGCGGACGAGAGCGGAAAGCACCGCCTCCAGCCAGAGCACGCGCGGGCGCTCAGGGCGGACGAGGGCGGGAAGCGCCGCCTCCAGCCTTGGCTAGCGCGGACAAGGGATCGGCAGCGGGAGGCGCCGCGCCGACCATGGAAGGACCTCGGCAGCGACGACAGGTCGCATCGAGGATCGTGGGGTGTCAGTATGAGGAGCTCCACGGCTTGCCACTCAGCGGCGAGCAGACAGCCGTCAGAGACGAGCTGACGCGCCCAAGGGCGACGAGATGAGGGCAGCGCTGCGGGCGCGCGGCCTCGGCATGGCAGGCCTGAAGGCGAACCTGGCCAACGGACTGGCGAGGATGGCGGCGCGCCATCCAGGGCGCAGAGAGGCCCGATGCCGACGATCGACGAGCTGGTCGAGTCGGCGGCGACAACATTAGCTGCGGGCGCCAGCGCCTGAAGGTGCACGGCAGCCCTGAGAGCCCGCCCCCAGCGGGGGGGCCCGCGGGGGGCGCCGCACCTCGCTCCGCCAAGATGCGGCGAGGAGGCGCGCCATAGTTATGGGGGTAGTTTTGGGATGTGTTGCAAGGGCATATGACCGAAGCCATCTTGGCTTGAAGAGGAACGCGGTTCCGCGCGGGGTGCCGCGCAGTTGTCGGCGTTGTTTTAGAGTTTCGCCTGCCCGCCCGTTGCGGCGCGAGGACTTGCGCGGCGCCGCGGCGCGAGCCGGCGAACATTCAGCACATTTTCTTACAATGGCAAAGCAAACCAATGCACATAAAACCGCGGACACCCCAAGAACACCATGCGAAGACGTTGCAACACCGAAGGACATCAAGGTTTTGGACGCCCGATAGCCACCAGACCTGTGAAAGCACAAGGTTTTTGCTCATCGACGTCACGAAACATAGTGTTTTCAGAAGTCTCGTGAGAACCAGCTTACCCACACCTTGTTTACCCTTCGTTTTTAGAGCTTTTCGCTTGGTTTTCTGCGGCTGTCATTGTTTTTTTGTTTGCTTTTTTTCGAATTCCGCTCCGCTCTCCCGCGCCCCCGCTTTCTCGCCCGCCCGCCCGCAGATTGGCGGCGCAGCTCACGGCGCGTATGATTGTGGATCACAGGGGTGTGTGTGTGTGTATACGATATATATATATATATATATATATATATATATGTAGACACATAAAAACATGTCTAGCTGAGCGCACTGCGCCACAACGCTGAGGCCTGCGTCGTGCGATTGTTTACATTCGGGGACCCACGCTTACAAACGTATACGCGCATCTCCGTATACACTCTTATCAGTACCCGCCCGCCACCCCCAGACGTGAGCTTTTGCAGTTTGGATGGGTCCGGTTGATGGTACAACGCATGTCGTGCAAATCGCGTGATGTGGACACTGTGCTGCAGGCTATATTGTGCCAGCTGCGTAGTGCAAGTTCGGTTGTACCAGTTACGCGGTGTAAGACACATTGTGCAAGCTAGACAGTGCAAGTTATGGTTTGAGTTGTGCCGTGTTGACTCTGATGCTCATTATTCGGTGTATAAGTTGCTGTGCGGTACACTGCGCGGCACAGGTGTATGATATGGTGTTTCAGTTAAGAGGTGCGACATGTTTGCCGCGAGCCTTGCGGTTCAAGCAATATTGTGAAAGTGATGCAAGATGTTTACGCAATTCCGCGGATCCCCGTGCGGTGATACGCGCGGCGACCGATGTCGGATGCGTTGTTTGCCGATCCCCGTCGTGTTGCTTGCGTGTAGTTGGCGCTGATGTGTTCTCCTTTCCTCTGCGTTTGTTGCGGTTTTTCTTCGGTGGCGTACTGGATGCCCCTACAGCGGTCTCGCGGGATTTGTTTCAAATGCTCCAGGAATGTGTTGTTCAGTGCCTTTGGGTCGCCTTGTTGGGGGCCTCTTGGGACCTCTTCGGGGCCGTTTGCGGCCTCTTGGGCTTTTCTTGGGGCCTTTGGCTGTGTTGGGCGCCTTTTCGGGCCGTCTTTCGGCGTGCCTGGGGCCCCGTTGAAGACCCTCTTGGGCCGTTTTTGCTTGGTCTCGGAGGCCTTTTGGGCCGCTTTGGAACGTCGGAAAGCAATGGCGGGAACGCCAAAATCTTTCAAACGCGGAAAAGCAATCAATAATGTTTGCCTTGGGGGCTTTGTTGGGAGGCTATTGGAGGATTCTTGGGACGCCTTGGAAGCCTCCTTGCGCCGTTGTGAGGCCATCTTGGGCGTAATGACGACGACGGCCAACATGAATGTGAATGGAAAGGGAACTGATTGCAAAATGATGAGAACGTCAATCGTGATCCTGGTGATGCACATGAGGGCCCCTATGAGACAATGGGGATGACGATGCTGATGACGTGTGTTGCCTCGGTTTCTGCGCGGTGTTTTTATCAGACATGCCGGCGGGTCTGTCTGCCGTGACCGGCCCGACGTGAGCACCCGCGTCCGCTGCGTTAGTTCCCCCACCTCTATTTATCTCTGTTTTCTTATGTTCCCATTATTTTTCGTTCATGGGGGTCTTTATTGCGAATACTTCGGACATCGTCGGATACGTCTGCGCAATCGCGAACCGCCTTTGTGCCCGAGGGATGCCTGCCCATCCTCGGTGCGGTATGTTCTTTGTTTGCGTTCGTTAATCGTCCCCCTCCTTGGTCTTAGTCCTCCTCTTCCTTCTCCTCCTCATCTTCCTTTCCCTTTGTCTCGTCCACCTCCTCCTCTCCAGTGTCTTTCTTGGGAACACAAAAAGCAAAACATTGCTGCTCCTTGTCCGCGCCAGTGCCGTGCGGCACGGGCTTTGGGCTGTTTGGGATGTTGGTGCTCTGCCTCGCGACACGTGGGTCAAGGGCGCCGCGCCCGCGGGCGCGTCGAGGTTTCAACGTGCAATTCACTTCGAGGTCCGAGGAAACAATTATCAAACAACAGAAGGAAGGTTTTTTGCTTCGGTCGCCGCCCCTGCATTCCCCCTTTCCCTCCCTTCCCTCCCCCAGTCCCGTTTTTCCTCTTAGTTGTTCAACCCTCCCGTTGTCTCTTTTTTTTTTTTCCTGGCGCTGCGGCGCAGTCGTCGTCGTCGACGACGGGGACGCACATTGGGACGAGGGCGAGCCAGGGTGAGGTTCACAACCGCCGTGTTCCGTGCGTCGCAAATGCTTGGGACCTCAACTAGAACCTGCGCGCGCGCGAAGTGCGAGCAGTACACAAATGGTTATCCACGCGTGTGCATACCATGCATCATGTCTTATTTATCGTATACATACCATGAATAACATGCGATATATAGTATAAAAATAGTTCGTCCAACCTGGGTTGGCCGGGCGGGGTTGGCCGGGATAGTTGGCCGGATCTCCGGAGGTTGGCCAGGAAAGTTGGCCAGTCCGAGCGTGCCCGCTTGCTTCCAGTGCGCATTGCGTTGCCCAGAAGCGCTGGCCGGGATTTGCCGGGGGCCAGGCGGCACCAATCGTTTGATAACCATTTGTTTCCATCAGATATAGTATGTGTGCACAAACATAATTATGTATACATACATATATATATGTGTAAATGTATATATATATATATATAATAATATATATATATATACATATATATATATGTATATATGCATATGCCTGTTCGTGTCGGTCGGCATGTACGCATGTATGTAGATTTCAACACCTATGTTTATACGCATATGTACATGTGTGTAGGTCGACGCGGCGTCATACTCCTTTTCCACGCGTATCCGCGTATGTAATATATATATATATATATATATATATATATATATATCGAGAGAGAGAGATATATATACACGTCGCTATATGTATATACATTTACGCACGTACACCCGTTTATAGTATGTTGGCAGTATTTGGTGCGCGCTTTATATTGGTTTCGCGAACGCTTGGCGCGCGGCGGGTTTGTTTAGGGTTGGATATGGAGCTTGTCGAACCGCCAACGGCCCCCCAAAACACCCCATTTGCGTCTTGAGCTGTGGTCTCAATGCCCGTCGAACATGTTTTCAAGACGGCGGCGGTAACATTCATATTGGGCGTGTGTGTCAAGCGTTGGCCCAGTGTGCTTCGGGCGGGAGGAGGAAGACACAATGCGACACCATGCGAAGGTAGTTTCTTTTTTTTTTCGCTTTCCATCAGGCAGAGGAACTGTTGCCCGTGATGGCCAACATCAGTCCGAGCTTGCCGTCCAGCAAGGCTTCCACGCCCATGATGGCGGCCGAGCCGGCTGTGCCCTCCGAGGAGGATGAGGCCAATACCGAGGAACTGAGAGGAGGAGGACCGATGGTTGTTGATGTTTGGTGTTTCTGATTATGTTTTGTCCGTTTTCTGTTGTTTTTCTGGGACGTTTTGGTCGCCATGGCTAGATCCGCGTCGAGACTCGGCCAGCACATGCGTTTGGTACACCGCCGTTGTGGCAGGCAGGCTTGCACCGCGTCGACGTGGCGGCGATTCTCATGCGCGCGTTCAAAGTTGAACGCCGCCATTGGCCTAGAATCCGCCGATATCGAACGATCTACGTTATCGCAGAACGGGTATCGTTCAAGATGGACGGAGCCACACAGTTTCAGAAACCAAAACTCGAGCAGTCACGAAATAAGTTCGCCGTGCTTGATTTGTCCAGGGCGCTCCTGTGCCCAGGGCCTCGAACGCACGTGTGTCGGCGGAGAGGGCTGTCCGAAGAGGCTTTTCTGAATGTTTTGCTTCTGGATCACCGCCACGTGTCCCAGGGACTGTCAAAAACCACTCAGTGATGAAGTACGGGCTAGGGTGGATCGTTGGAATGGTGTCGCCACCGATTCCGAACAGACTATGGTCGGGGGGGAGGCGGATTGTGGTGGCGATCGTTAGTGCGATTACGATGACAGCGATGAGGATCATGATGATGGTAAGGCCAGGTTGGTTCATTCATATGTGGCTCTCGCCTCAACGCCGGGCCCACTCGTTTTTAAGTATTCCTATTTTTGCACTGGTCGAAGGTGGGTCGTGGCCGTATTTAGTCTCAAGTATTGCACCGCGCGCAGTTGAAGTATAAAAAGCCTCTCGCGCCAGATGTTTTTTTGTTGTGAGTGTTGCCCTGGTTTTGGCGCCGCGCACAATCGTCTTCACACTTTCTGAAGATTGCAAGGATGGGAGTCCTTGTCTTATTTTGCAAAACGTGACTCTTGTCTGGTAAATGTATATGTAAAAAATACGTGTATGTGTAAAGCTAGTTATACCAGTTCACACTCACAATGTACTAAGCTACATATGTATATATGCGTATGTAGCTTACTACACACCAGTTTCATATATATATATATATACATACAGTTCTTTACAACGGATGTACAATTTACAAAACGTACAGCATCATACACACTGTATACAACTATGCGGGCATACAATACACCATCATCTGTATAATCGTACATACATCGTGCGCAATGCACTATCCATACCATGTAATTCTAGCATGTAGAGAATACACTCTTACATACTATGTATACAATGTACACATACAATTCATATGGGCATTCACGCTATATATATGTATATATAGTTGTGTATTGATATGGGGTACAATGTTCTACCATACTTGATTATATAGCTCTCAAGTTTAAGCTTTACGTGATACACGCAGTATGAACTAACTATCCACACTACGTTCTCACATAGCAGAGTGTACACCGTCGCACTAAATGTGTACGCCTGGTTGTACGTTTATATACACAAGAACTGATTATATATATACACGTATATACGTATGTATTTACAATCAATACATGTACACACTACTATACATATATCACAGTCGTGTGATTCGAGTTTTGCATGCGCACCAGTTGCAGGTCTTCAGGGCGGAGAGGACATTTCGCTTGAGATGGGTTCACGCTTCACGGGCCTAATTCTTCACGCTTCGCGTATCCCCACCAGCCCATCTCAAAACAGCAACTCTTGCGAAGCATGCCGACAGTCGTGTGTTTCAGGCGTGTGTGCGCTTGCCCCCGCATATCTCCCCTGTTCCTCCTTCCTCCCGCCTCCTTGTACATCCTCCTTGTGGTGGGAGCGGGAGAAGGACGAGGCGGAGGAGGAGGGAGAGAAAGCGGTGGGAGGCAAGAGGGATTTAGTGGAGACGACGACCACAGCGATGATCCGAACAACGACGACGCACCCGACGACGACGACGATATCGACCGCAACGACGACGACGACCACAACCGCGACGACGACGACGACGACGACGACGTCGACGACGACGACGACGAAGGCGGCGGCGACGACGACGACGACGACGACGACGACGACGACGACGACGACTGGTGGGAGTCGTTGGGGCCCCTCGTGGTGTGAGTCGTTCGGCCCCATCGTCCTTGTGTGAGTCCTTCGGGCCCCTCTTCCTGGTGTGAGTCGTTCGGGCTCCTCGTGGTGTGAGTCGTTCGGGCCCCTCGTCCTGGTGTGAGCCGTTCGGGCTTCTCGTGGTTCGAGTCGTTCGGGCCTCTCGTCCTGGTGTGAGTCGTTCGGGCCCTTCTTCCTGGTGTGAGTCGTTCGGGCTCTTCGTGGTGTGAGTCGTTCGGGCTCTTCGTCCTGGTGTGAGTCGTTCGGGCTTCTCGTGGTGTGAGTTGTTCGGGCCCCTCGTCCTGGTGTGAGTCGTTCGGGCCCCTCCTCCTGGTGTGACTCGTTCGGGCTCCTCGTGGTGTGAGTCGTTCGGGGCCCGCGTCGTGGTGTGAGTCGTTCGGGCTCCTCGTGGTGTGAGTCGTTCGGGCGCCTCGTCCTGGTGTGAGTCGTTCGGGCCCCTCCTTGTGGTGTGAGTCGTTCGGGCTCTTCGTGGTGTGAGTCGTTCGGGCCCCTCGTCCTGGTGTGAGTCGTTCGGGCTCCTCGTGGTGTGAGGCGTTCGGGCTCGTCCTGGTGCGAGTCGTTCGGCCCCTCGTAGTAGGTAGTAGTAGTAGTAGTAGTAGTAGTAGTAGTAGTAGTAGTAGTAGTAGTAGTAGTAGTAGTAGTAGTAGTACGTAGTAGTAGTAGTAGTAGTAGTAGTAGTAAGTAGTCTTTTGGTTTGGGGCCTCTTGGAGGCTTTGGGGCCTCTTGGGCTCTCTTTTGGGCCTCTTGGGAGCGTCCGGGGGCCCTCTTGGGCGCCTCTTGGAGCGTCTTGGGGGCCTGTTGGGGCCATCTTTGGGGCGATCGATCACAGATGGGGCGAGCATTTTTGTCAGTACCCCCGTCGGGGCCACGATCCTCGTGAGGGGTGTCGAATTTTAGCCTCCCAGGGATAGAAAATTGACCCTCTGACCACCCGCGAAACCCCCTCTCCAGGTCCAGGGGGAGGGGGTAGGGGGAGGGGTAACCCCCTCCCCGAAGGGGAAAGAGGGCTCGCTAAACCACTCACGCCCAAAGGGCTGGTGGGATTCAGGGGGCCAGAGACAGGGTAACAGCAGACGGGGTAACAGGAAACGGCCGGTTCGAGGCATCATATGGCATTTTGTGTTGCAGTGCAGTTTGTTTTGGCTTTCGCGTTCGATGCAGCATCTTCCACATGCTGGCTGCGTTGCAGATTTTTGGCAGTTGCACTGCACCTTTTTGTTTTTGACCCTCAATTACCCGGTCCGTGGGGCTTGTTTGCAGTTTTTTCCGCAATTAGTTGCCAACAAATTGCAGTGCAGTTGCTTTGCGTTGCTGAATGATGCAGTGCGCTTGTTTGTTCTGGTCGTTGCAGTTTTTCCACCTGGATCCCATGGTGGGTCTGCTACCCCGTTTAGGCGTTACCCGGTTTAGTGCTCCCTGACTAATGTAATCGCGTGCACCAGTTACACGGATGGATGCATGGACGGATGGATGGCGAGGGTTTTCGCACGGCATTTCCGTGGAACTCATTATTTGAATCCCTCGCGGTGTGATGGACGGCGATTCTTTTTTTTTCAAAACTCGGATTCACAAAGGTGAAGCAAAGTTAGACTCTCACCTCCCCCTCCTCGTTTCGCTGTGCGCACGCGCGTGCGCCCTGCAGCATGTCTGTCGCATTTGGGGGTCGAAAGTGGGGTCGCTTGCCCTAGGTTTGCATACCGCTTACCGTACCTCTTCATTCATTCTTCGATTCTTCTTCCGAGAACCCCCCATGTCCGAGCCTCAGGGGGCCGCTCCTGCCGCCGCCAGGGCCAGCGAAGCGCTGGAAGAGGGGGCTGGGGGACACTTCGAAGGCGTAGCCACAGCCACGGCCTTGCGGGCCAAGCTCGGCGAGGGGAGCGAGGCCGCCAAGGCGCTCGCAGCAGAGGGCCCGTGGGAGCGGCTCAAGGCGGCACTCGCTAAGTGCGACTACGGCGAGGACGACGCGGCGGACCTCCGCAAGGACCTCCAGACGCTGGGCGGCCGCGGTTTCCTGAAAGGAGTGCCCGCCGACTTTGGCCCGCGCGGCTGGGCGGCCCTCCAGGAGATGGTGGCTGTGCTGTCCGAGAGCGGCCGCGGCCCCCGCAACCTTGCGGGCCCGCCGGGCTTCTGGGGAGAGGCCCCGGGCGGCGCCCCGCCCCCCTTCGACGCGCCGCCGGCGGAGTGGCGCGGGGCCGGGCCAGCCGCCAGCGCAAGTGGCAACTTGTTCCTCGGCAAGGTGGTGGCCGCGGCGGCCCAGCAGGACACCAAGGCCCTCGAGGAGCTCACCTCCCAGTGGGGCCCGACGGACCAGCTCCGTACCCTGGTGAAGCAGTCCAAGCAGGGAGAGCCGCTGCGCACCCTGGAGCCGGACGAGGCTGCCCTCCGCGCGGCCGCGTCGGCCCGCGAGGCCGGGCGCTTCCTGGCTTGCCCAGAGCCTAAGGCCGACGACGCCTGCCGCTTGCAGCGTCCGGTGGCGCAGACGCTCTGCCGCGAACTCCCTCGCCTCTTGGGCCGCCGCCCTAGAGCGCAGGGTGTCGTGGGGGGACGTGCTCAACTACGTCGGACAGGCGGCCGTCGCCGCCAACGACAAGGCCGCGCCGCAGCACGTCGCCGAGCAGGCGGCCGCCTTCTACTCTTCTCGGGTGCTGTTCGAGGCTTACTCGAGCAGCAAACGGGGGGAGGGCGACGAAGAGGGCCGGGGCAACGCCAGCTCCGTTCTCGGCGAGCTCGACTGGAGCCGCCTCACCCGCTGCCAGACGGAGGTCACGCAGGCTGGCGCCGCCGCGCCCGCCGCGTCCGCGGCCGCTGGCCAGGGCGGCCTGGGGTTTCCGTGCCGGCGCATCCTCTTCGGGCAACGCACGAAGCAGGAGGCCTGCCAGTTTCGCCACGGGTGCCCTTTCTGCCGCACCACGGGCCCGGGCTCGCCTGGCGAGCCACCTCGAGCAGAACGGCTCCTCGCGCAGGGGCGGCAGCGGCGGCAAGGGCGGACCCAAGGACCGGCCGAGGGGCCGCAGCCGGACGCCGCCGGCGCGCGGCCGCGACGGCCCTAAGGGGCGCGACGTGCGATGAGGGGCGCGTCCGGAGGACAGCCGGGGCGGCGCGCCGTCGCCCGCCGCGGCGAGCTTGGCGCCGCTCGAGAGCGATGCCCTGCAGGGTCGCCCGGTGGCGCCTGCGGGGCTGAGAGCGAGTGGAGTCTCGCGCGCTGCTGCTCCCCCGCTTGTCCTTTCCTCCTCCTCCCCTCCTTCCTCCCCGGCCTCCCCGCCCTCCTCGCCCGCTCCCCCATGTTTGCCCTTCGGCCGCCGCAGCGCCCCTCCCCCCCCCCATCGCTGCCATTTCTCCGCCTAACCTCTTCTGCCCTGCAGACGAACACAGACCTGTTCGCCTTAGTTCCAGGCGCTCCTGGAGCTGCTCTTCCAGGCGAGGGCGAAGCCTTCGCCGTTGCCCGCGGTTGGATCGCCGACTCCACAGTGGCCGTTTACCCGCGGGGCGCCGTCGCCACGGTGCCTTCGCGGGGACTGCCGCCCGCGCAGCACCTGCGGTTGGCCCTGCAGTTGGCCGCCGCAGGAAGCCACCCGCTTAATCGGCCCCCGGCGATAGCAGAGGGCACGGCGCGCGCGTTGGCAGCGCAACTTCGTCTCGGCGCAGACATCAACGAGGTGCGCCTGAAACGGCTGGCCTTGTTTCAAGTGTGGAAGCGGGAACTTGAGGTCAGCCAGCAAAGCCTGGCCGCCTCGGTGGGCCCTGCCCTCTGGGGGTTCGCTAGCAAGCCCACCCTTCTCTCCCCCGCCTCCCGCGCCTCATCGGGCCCCCGGCGGTGCAGCTTGTAGAGGACATGCGCCGGGGCCTGCCCGACGCGGGGGCGCCGGCCGCTTCTGGCATTTTTCCTCCGCTCCTGGCAGCGGCGCCGGAGTGGTCGGTCGAGCAGCTGCTGGCGCACTCCGCCGGGCGCAACGCAGAGCTGGTTGATCGCGTGCGCAGGGGCCGCCCGCGCGCGGCCGAGATCTGGAAGCAGGGCGCCCAGGCGGAGGCCACTGGCTCGCTGGGGCCGCCTGGCCATTTGAGCACTTCCAAAGCGACGCCGGCGGCGGGGCGAATATCGTTTTCTGCAGCAAGTTCGCCGTCTGCCAGAAACGGTGGTCGGAGGGCGAGTCCGGCCGGGCGTCCTGTTCCACGGAAATCAGGGCGTGCGCCGACGCATCCGATTCGCCAGGCGGTTGCTGCTTTAAGTTAACTTGGACGGCAACCGAGCGCATAGTGCGTTCAGACAGCGAGGTGATTATTGCACAAATGGTCGCCTCGCAGAGAGCTTTCGGCGCACCCCCAGTGGGGTGCAAAGATGATTTGCGCGAGGCTTCCCACCAGGTCGGGCGCCGCCGCGACCCGGTCAGGGTGGTGCAACTTTTCTGGCACCCTCGCGACACATGCGTGGTCGGCCGGGAGCTGCTGTCCCCGGACTTCGGCACAGGTGGTGCAGTAACCAACTCGAGCGTTGTTTTTTCGGAGTCTCCGGGATATTTTGTACCCGTGGTTTTTCATTAATGCCGATAGCTTCTTCGCCGACTACCCAGAGGTCCTCTAGTTGTGGTTTTTCAACAACTTTAGGATTGTTGTTGTTTTAGCGATATAGTTGTTGTGTTTGCTATGTAGTTGTTGTTTAATGATGTTATCATTGTCTTGGCGTCTAAAAATATCAACGCATCGCTGCCGTATCTTTCTCTCGCACACTTCGTTCGGGGCGTTTCTCCCGCCCGCCTTCTCCTCTGGTGCTCTCCTCTGGCACTTGCTGCCCGCTCGCTCACTACGCCAGCCCCCCCCCCAAAAAAAAAAAAAACGAAACAAGAGAGAAAGAGAGAGAGAGAGAGAGAGAGAGAGAGAGAGAGATGAGAGAAAGAGAGAGAGAGAGAGAGAGAGAGAGAGAGAGAGAGAGAGAGAGAGAGAGAGAGAGAGAGAGAGAAGAGAGAGAGAGAGAGAGAGAGAGAGAGACAGGGGGGGCGGGGGGGGGGCAGGAGGAGGAGGACAGGAACAGGAGGACAGGAGGAGGAGAACAGGAACAGGGCAGACGGGCATGCATGCGAGGACGAGACGGGTTGCCGTTGCCGCCCGACGCACTCGCCCTTGCTTCCGTCGCCGTCGCCGCAGACGTGGCCGTCATTACTGTCGCCAGCGCCGTCGTTGTCGCCCACCGCCGCCGCCGCCGTGGTCATCGCCGCCATCGCCGTCTTTGTTGTCTTTCGTCGTCGTCGGTGTCATGGTCATGGAGATTTTTTGTTTCGTTGACGTCGTCGTTGACGTAATCTGTCA